GGCTTTATGAACAACTTGCTGTAAATGTAGCTTGGTCTTGCAAGAACCAAAATAGGAAAGAAAAGTCTGGAGGGCATAGCGTGTGCGAAGAAAGTGCTATTAGAGTCCTGATGCTAAAGCCGGGAGAGTAGGATCTGTCAAGTTAAGTAACAAAGAATGCAGTTTATAGTAAGCCCCAATTAGCCACTTTCAATAAAAGACTTTTGCAATGTCATGTGGAAGTTGGAATGCAAAATTTGATTGGATAGACTTCTTCCTTGAACTTGCCCTAAGCGAAAATCCGTTTTCTTCAGGTTCCAGCCTACTTTAGAGCATGACGGATCAAGAATTCTTTGTATGAGCGGTCTGAGATGTGGAAAGTTTTTCGTGAGATTACTTGAGACTATTTAGGTTCAGACACCTAGCTGGGTTCTTAAACAAGCTTCCGGATCAGATATAAGAGCTTATCTACGGAAGACAAACGGGTGATGACTAGGGGGCAGAAGACACTCACTTGCTGCTCCAGCTCGGCTGACGAACCGCTGGTGATGTTGACTCCGGTCTCATCACTCTGGCTTTCGCCTAGATTGTTGCTGGCCTGGATGAGGGTCTGGCTACCAATGCTTCCTTGTTCCGACCAGCCGGAATCAAGCATATCATTGTTAAGGAAAGCATGTTGGGCGAGGCAGTCGAGGCTCAGCCGATCGGCGGGTTCCCGAGCCAAACAGGAATGCACAAAGTAGAGCAGTTGATCAGAAAAGCAAAAGCTAGGCAGACGAGGAGCTGGGTGATCAGAGATACAAGTCAGTAGGTCGAAGATGGACATACTGCGCTCTGATAGGCTAGTTTCCAGGGCTACAATTATACAAATATGGCCGTCCGAAAGAATGTGAGAATTAAGGAATGCAGACTACATAATGAGTTGGATAACTTGCATTTTATGCACTGTCTTAAAAAGAGATAAAATGTTTCCATTGTAAAGGCATCTATTTGAGTCAAGATCATAAATGGTTTAGTTTGAAAGATCCAGGACATAAAGCTCTAATAAACACAGGGACCCCCAATAAATCTATCGTACAGATCGAATGCTGCACAACTCTACCATATATTAATAAAGACTTGAAAGAGATGAGTAAATAGCTATGGCATCAGCTTTGTATACCTTTCTAGCCACAGATCATTCTGTAAGAATAAATGCCTTTTCTTAATTCAGATCATATGCTGGGACGTGACAACGGATACGATTCCCGTTATAATCAAACAATGAGAAATTCCAAAGGCGAGGCATATGAACCTACAGTTGCAGGACATTAGATTCACCATTAAATTTTACTAAAGAGATAGTAATGGTTTCGAACAGTGTTTTTGGATCTTAAATATTTCTGGCTTTTAAGCCTTTTTCTTAACTCTAGTGATTTACTTCTGACTGAGACTAGTGAGCTCAGTTAGGGTGATTCAAACACTGATAGTTGAGTTTCCCCCAATCGGATGATTAGGCCTCAGGATGCCAATGAGATTGACAAAGCCTTGCCTCCCACACGGATACCTCGTCTTTACTGGACTGGACTGCAATTTCGACCTCGCCTAGGACTCATAAGCACCCATAATGGATTTATAAATTGGATCGTAAGTATCGTGGCGACATTACGACCCAACTACACATCCGCGTGTGCCAGTAAGTCACAGGGCAAACTGGGCCTAGCCCATATAAGATTTATAGAGATTGACAATCAAGCAAACATGCATTTACTGTTACGATCGGTGAAGTTAATTATTTGCGGTATAAGTAGGTTTCGTAATTCTTAAAACGGCAATCCACCTTGGGTGAAACGGCCTTATGGGAGACAAG